TTTCCAACTACTCAGCTGGTCTAATAAAAGATATCACATCTACTCAAAGAACCTTGCTTACTTTTGTTGTGGTGGGATTTCGAGATGGAATCTGTGTTTAAGTTTTGCTGTGTTCCGGGGATGTTTTGGGTTGCATCATTTTTATAAGTTTTTGACTAAAAGCAGTCCTCAGACTTACAACACCATTGGTTACTGAAAACTGCATCTTAAGTCGAAAAGTTGTAACTCGGAACTGATTTTCCCATAGGAATGATGTTATAAAAGGGGGATTGGTTCCTGAACCAAGACCCGATAACCCAGTATTTTGTAGTCAATCACTTATAGATGAGTAGTATAGCTACATTACTGTCTTTCTATTGTAAATAGCAATCATATTGATTTGGAAGCACTTCTTTGAGGTGACTTTGCTGGACTTTTTGAAGGGTTCTTGACTGGAGTCTTCTCAAGAGTCTTGGCTGCAGGTTTTTCTGGAGTCTTGTCTGCTTTCTTAAAGAAAGTGTCCAAGGAAGTTTGGACAGACGGGACACAGGCAAACTTGTTTGCTGGCGCGGCGTTGCGCCAAGTCATAAAACTGTAGCAACATACAGAAGCTTAAAAACTGCACATGCTAGGAGGAATACAAGGACATGTATCTCCCTTGGAAGCATCTCGAGGCGCATCTCGTGAATTTATATAAATAAGTCGTAGTGCCCTTTGTCGTCACTCAAAATGTCTGAAGTTGAGGACTGCTTCTATATTTGTCATTAAAAAAACACCTGGATGATGCAGAACTTGCAGATTTATTGCTTAGGCTGGTTTATTTATTTATTATTTATTTATTTAGGGCTGGGCATTGGGTCAGGTCACTGGGGCTGCACGAACTACAGGTCTGACCCTCGGACTACAGCGCCCAGCATGCCCCGCGCCCCGCCCGAGGACTACACGTCCCAGCCGTACAACCCAAGAGGCGGCGCGCGCAGCCCTCTGGGACTTGTAGTCGCTGGGGCGATGAAGGGCGGCTGCCGGGAAGCGGCGGTAACGCGCCTGCGCGGCCAGTCGGAGAGGGGGAGCCGGCGGCGCCGGCGCATGCGCTTTGGCGCGGCGGAGCTCTCTCGCGAGGAAGGACGCCATTATCGCAGCCGCTCGACAAACACCACGAGAATTCGGCCCCGCACACGGTAACCGCGGCCCCCGCGGCCGCCGGCTCGGGCTGG